AAAAAAAAAAAAAAAAAAAAAAAAAAAAGACAAGGTGAAGGTCAGGCCATATTGCCCCAGAGGGCAGCCTGATAATCCTCCCTCTCCTCTGCCTTCATCTTGCTCATTCTGTGCTCATTCATATTTCTGAACCTCTTGCTTTTGTTCTCTCTTCTAGATGATATCAGTGGGACGCTGCCTACATCTGTCCTTGTGGCTCCGATGGGGTCTTCCTTGCAGTCTTTCCCCCTACCTCCGCCTCCTCCACCCCATGCCCCAGGTTAGCTTAGTTTAGAGGCAAAACTTGTAAGAGTTGGGAGTACAAAGTAATACTTTGTACGTTTGAAGGATGGGAGAAATCTATTTATGGAAATAACAACTCTGAGAAAGCGTAAATCTTTTCCCGCTGGCTGGACCAGAACTCCTTGGAAATGAGGCCAAGAACTGGTTTTTCTAACCCATTTTCTTTATGGAGGTGAATCTGATTTTTGTTAGGGATAAAATACTATTGAATTTTTCATCTCTTTGCTGCTGAGACTGTTTTGCAATTCTTGAGTAGATACCACTTGACAAATTGCCTTCATTTCAGATAGAGAGGAAATTTAATATGTTGCTGGTTTTCAAAGTTCTTTGGTGTTTCTGAGCTTTTAGTATTTACTGCAGCCTTGTAAATAAGTACCAAGCATTTAGTAGCTCATACGTGCTTTGCCAGCCTCCAGTACCCAAGGAATAAAATGAATGAAATCGGCATTCTTTTCTACTTGCCTGGCAAAATCATTACTCTTCTGGGCAAGTCAGTGAGTCACTATTTCCAAGGCTGCTTTACCGGCACTTCACTTCGAGGTGGGAGAAGTTGGAATCGCTCTAGGCTGGCGAAGCCCCTGAAGTAGTCACCTTAGTCAGGTTAGTGAGCAGCTCCCTTACCTGTTGCCTGGGGTTAAATGCCCCCCGCCCATCCTTCACAGCTTACACGAGCCCACACAGCTTTTTGTTCCAGTCCATCCAGCTCTTTTCCACTGCTTTGGCTTTCACCCTTTCCCAGCTTAGCTTCTAATGCCTTGCCCCTCTTCAGTTAGCAGCTCTGTTTGAGGGGAGGGTATACTTGTGGTTGGGAGCAATGAGGGTAAACAAGTGACCACCGTTCTCTTGCCCTGCAGATGCGTTTCCCCGGATTGCTCCTATCCGAGCAGCTGAATCCCTGCACAGCCAGCCCCCTCAGCACCTCCAGTGTCCTCTCTACCGTCCTGACTCGAGCAGCTTTGCGGCCAGCCTTCGAGAGCTGGAGAAGGTAAGTGGCGCCTGAGGACTGGCAGCTCTCACCTCTCCTCCCACCTGTCGAATTCTGTACCCGAGCTCTCCTTTATTGTTTGTAGAGGAAGAGTCGTTTCCCTGCCTCCATATTTACAGCGACAAAGCTGTATGCTATTTTTATTAATTCCATAAGAGATATAATAAAATTGAATTTTGGGGGAAAAATTTTTAACATGAACTTTCAGAAAGGTGGTGGAGAAATGTTCACGTAGTCTAACCTGATTTTATAGATAGATTAGCTGACCCAGTGCTCTCTGCCCTTCTTTGTGGAGTCCTTGGTAATGGAATTGTAGAAATAGTCTTCTTTTACTTTGGAGGACTAAAAGTATCATGAGCCTGATGTTCATTGCTAGTGGTTGAGACACTTGTAGCAGCTTTTACTTATTGAAATGTTTTGGAGAATGGGGGGGGTGGTTCTCCCATGGTAAGATCAATTGTGCTGAAAACTTTTACATTTCTGTTTTAACTTCTTGACTGCTTCTTGTCTTTCAAAGTGTGGTTGGTATTGGGGGCCAATGAATTGGGAAGATGCAGAGATGAAGCTGAAAGGGAAGCCAGATGGTTCTTTCCTGGTACGAGACAGTTCTGATCCTCGTTACATCCTGAGCCTCAGTTTCCGATCACAGGGTATCACCCACCACACTAGAATGGAGCACTACAGAGGTAAGAGATGCTGGTGGGATTTTTTTGTTTGGTTTTTTTTTTTTTTT